ATATATATATATATATATATATATATTATATGATATATATATATATATATATATATATATATATATATAAAATATAAATATTATATATGATATTTTATATGATGATCTATGTTTTTTACACTCAATTTGACAATCAATAATTTTATAACTAAAATAAAGGTATTATCATGTACCTTTGATCTAGAAATAAGCGCGATATTGCGCTTAAAGAAGAGTAAAAAAGGGATCAGTATCCAAAAACGGTGTAACGACGTTTTCAAATTTTGCCGACATAATGTATCTTTTTACAGGATATTATTTTTTTAGTGTAGTCATTTTTATGGACAACTCACACTCGACCAAATAATTGACTGTATTATATTATATCGAGTTCTTAGGTTTTCGCGATTGTTACACATAGGAAATGAAACTATTTTTCCGGATTTAATTCGCGTATATTTGTTTTTTCAAACAAACCGACGTTTCGGGCCCTTTACAGGTCCCATGGTCACGGTTGACTGACTGACTGACTGAGTTTCATTTCCTATATTATATTAGACAACATGACATACGTTGCTCTGATTCCAAAGTAAGTAGCTAAAGCACTTGTGTTATGGAAATCGGAAACGACGCCGGTATCACAAACACCCAGACCCGAGACAATATAGAAAAATTAGGTTTCACTTCTCATGCTCTTAGGCTGGATACAGCCTACACCCAGCATAAATACGAACTTTAAGAGAGAGAAATAGGATTTTATGCTCTAGTGCATAAAATAAAAAAAACCATCACATTAAATATGTCTAATTGTTGTAATTTTACATTCAATTTTAATTAAATAATCGTTTATTTGTAATATTACTGTTTAATTTCCTCGCAATCGAAGTGATAAGCAGAGTGTATAACTCGTTCATAAGACCCATTTTACCCTCGACTTCAGTATCCACACTCGCCTGCGGCTCGAGTGAAATGATGTGTTTTATGCACTTGTTGTACAATCTACTATTGTACACTGACCCGGCCAAGAAATCGAAACCGGGACCTCAGAGACGGCGACACCACGAAAACCGGTGTGCAAGCCACTCGACCACGAAGGCCGTCATAATTATTCAGTATATTTGTTAATAAAGTAAAAAAAAATGGCATTTGTACAAGAGAAGCTAACAAACACGTACGACCTAGTAATTACGTGAAGCACACGTAAAAGACCTTTTCTTTTTCACCGAGAGAGCTGATAATTCCATTAACCGGTAAAGGCATGTTACATTTGTGAAGATTTTAAGCCTTTTGCTCATTTAGGATTCAAAATACATTACCAATAAGTAATAGAATTACTTCTAATCTTGTATAGATAATTTTTTTAAACCCTACATAAATACGTGAATAAATTAAATGGGTTTTACCATGGTTTTACTCATTAATACAAATAAGCAATTAACTTGAGTTACATAGTCATTTTGCAATGTTGCCTTTAGCTCGACGACTTTTCACAAATAATAAAAAATCCTAATAAATTTGCGTTTGAAAAACTTGCTGTTGGTAGTAAATTTTATTTTACAGCTTTTAGCATCACTCGATATATGATTGAAAACACACTATTCGAATAAAACAAAAGTGCATGGAATTGAAATAAGGAGCTTTTTTCTTATTGAAACTTAATTTTTACACCGCTGGAATAATTAGAAACAATAAATCGATAATAAAAGCGATAATGAACAACGGAATAAATCATTTCTTGAGCCTACCAATTAGAGAGAAGTCAATTTTGAAAAAAAAAACTCTTGTGACAATTTATTAGCGTGATAAGCAATTATTAATGTTTTTCCGGGAAGAGAAATAAATTCAAACACTTTTAATCAGATAGATATAGTCATTTCAAAAATACGCATAATTTTGATCTAATTTTTTTTATCCACAAATGCATTCCAATGTAATTTTTTTTTAATAATTGAATTTTTCATAATTACTCAATCGGACAATTATTTCAAATGTAGAACATTAAAAAAATATATAAATGCAATAAATGATTTACTATTAATTATTTACATAATAAAAAGTAATCGTATATTAATAATCAGAAACTTACCGTAGTAGACTGATCAGCAAATACAAACTATTAAATCGTATAGGAGTTCGTAATAGAACGGGAAGTCGAGTAACACTGGAATGTGCTGTTCGCGGTGGTTCACCGATGGTTCTTGAAGGCAAATGAGCGGGGCTGTGGAGCCGCCACCGTTTTATACCACTTGAGTCACGACCGCGTAGGTGAGACATTCGCTGTTCTAGCTACGCAAGTTACGTGACGCTTCTTCGTCCGATACTGGACTGAACTTATATTTACATACATGCACTTAGGAAAATAATCCTAAGGTACTATTTGGATAAAACTTACAATTGTAAATTAATAATAATACGTCATTGTTATCTACGGTTTGACCAGATCGAAACTTACAATAAATAGTAATAGTAAAAAATGAATATAAATAAATATAAAATTTAAATAAATAAATATAAAAATTAGGCAACATCACATACGTGCTCTAATCCCAAAGTAAGTAGCTATAGGCACTTGTGTTATGCAAAATCGGAAACAACGACGATACCACAAACACCCAGACCCGAGACAATATAGCAAAGTTAGTTTTTCTGCATTGAGCAGGCCGGGAATCCAACCCAAGGAACTCAGAGATGTAAACCGGTGTGCAAGCCACTCGACTTTACTTTTACTTGATATTAACACTAACTTTGAAAAGACAAAAGAGCCCGTGAAGTCATAATGTACTTTAATGTTTGATATGTCGTCGCTTTCAAATGTCTTTTATTTACATACATATATATATACTGTACACTATACACATATATAATCACTTGTATATCCTATTGGGGAAGTTATACATATGCACGTGTGACACTTTTACTTACAATACACAAAAAAAATCATTTATTAATTACAAAAAATTCGCTACGATATTCCAGCGGTTTCGTTTGACATTAATATGTGTAAGGACCATGCCTTAAAATATACAATTTGTCGAAATAGTTGAACAAGTGACAGTTTTTATAGCATAAGTGTGGTTGAGTGTACCTTTATATAACTACCCTATTAATTTGGCTATTGTTTAGTACAGGAAGTACGATAATAGCTTTTCTCAAAACACGTCATTATGTAGTTGTTACAGGAGGGATACCCTATTTCAGGGAATTTGTAAGCGGGATATGCCTAATAGGCAATTTAATAATAATTTAATGGGCTTGGGAAATGTTATAGAATGTTGCTTGTGTGAGATGTTTTTTGCAACAACAAAAGAATAACTTAAAAAGTCAATGTTGTGTTCTTTTATCATTATTGGAGAATGTAAGTATAATAAATAGTTCTTATACGTTGCGCTTAAATTAGTATCGAATAGAGTTTAGATCATAGAGTGTGGATGGTAATTTTGTTTACTACCACAATAAACAATATGTTAAAAAATAGACTCAGTATTAGGCTACCGGATTTCCGTTGAAACTTTTATACCAAGGCAATCCAAATAATCTTGACGTCACGTAACTTTATAAATAGATTTTTTATAATAATCTTTTTTTACCACAATAGCACTGTGATCTCTTTTAGTCGGTCTTCTCAAAACGGGACAGCAGCATGCGAGTCGTGTTTTCCGAATTACACATTTTTATCATTCTTGCTTTAATGGGGTCAATCTGTAAAAGGAGAAATGAGGAATGCCTGAAATCATCATGGAATTCACTAATTATGTGAGTATATACTTTTTTTATTATTATATCAAGTGACGGGATGAACAAGTTGTGCGCCTGATGGTAAGCTATACGTTTGTCCATAAACGTTGCAGTGTCATTCAGAGCTTTAAATCACAAAGATCTGAGGGGCACTACCACTACGCCTGTCGCCCTGAGATATAACTTGACAAGTCCTATGTGTCTGTGATTTTCCCAAGCACCCTTACCCTTCAAAACTAGAGCACAATAATGCTGAAATTACTGCTAGGCAGCATAAATAGGTAAGGTGGCAGTACTTCCCTGGACGAACTCTTACACAAGGAGGTCTACTGCTATATTAATATAATTGTAATGAAACATGTAAATACTAGGTTCAAATAAGAAAAAGCTCCTTGTTTCAATTACATGCACTTTATTCTAATTCGGATAGTGTGTTTTAAATGACAATATAAATATATAAATATAAAAAGGCTGTAACATTAAATTCTCTACAAACAGGAAAAGCAAGTTTAAATGGATTTTTTGTTATATGCAATAATCAAATATTGCAAGTTGATAAAAACTTCTAAATGATTACATCTTCATACAGGAATAACTACAAACATGTTACCTTTTGAATATCAAAAAATCGGCGAAGTACGATTACGATTTACGTACTAACTATTTCGTGATACACTTTACTTATTTTATATATAAAATTTTACGTCTTACAAAGGAAGACGTATTCATAACATCGTTTCCTTGAAAACCATAAATAGTTTTACACTTATTAGTCTGACATGTTATTCATTTTTTGGTTTACAATCTTCGGAAATAAATAGCGGTAGTATTTTGCAAATTATTGTCTAAGAGTAAAAAAAAACTATTGCAAAAAATACCTATATAACATATTTATATCACCAAGAGACGTGATCGAACAAGTGGCATTTATTACTGTGCCTGTGTGTGAATTTCAAGTTAATAACTACGAACAGTTTCAATGAAAAACAGCTTCGAAATAAAAACGGAGTACCTACTCACACCAGTGTCACTAGAATGATTCCATTTTTACTCTGTTTTAATTTTAATTATAATAAAATAATTATAACAAATCTGACAGTCAGTTACGCCAATTACATGGTCTTCAAATTAAAATTCAATTCGATTTTCGGTTTTCGCGATTGTTACACATTCTCAGTGAATAGTCATCCGTAACCATGGGACATGTAAAGAGTACGAATCGTTTTTTTTTTCATAATATGAAGTAAAGGGACGAACAAGTCGTGAGCCTTATAGTTGTGACTAGTTTCAATGCCAAATTAACTACATAGCTTTTCTACTCTTGTAAAAGCAATACAAAATGTGGACAGACAACGTTTAATCTCGTTTCGCAATAACGTTTTTCTATGTAACTGGAATTACAAAAACTTGATGTAATAGCCGAGTGGTAGTTCAGCAGAGCAGCTTATAATATATCCATTAGAGTACCTACTCGATAAAATAGACGTTATACTATGTCCAAATTTATTGAAATCATGTGTCAAGATATGGTTTTCATAACTGAGCAATATGCCTGGTTATTATGATTAACTGGTAGAATAAAAAGCATTAGAAGTCTTTAAAAAGAGGGGATTTGGTAAGGATTTTTAAGAAAAATATGTTGTCCGCCATTCTGACCAATTAAAAGTTGAGAACACACCTGCCTCAAGAAGCTTTACGTAAGCATGACATTACGAATAGCAAAAAAAAAATTTATATTATTCCAAGTAAAGGGATGAACAAGTCATGCGACTGGTGGTAAGCGGTTATTCCAATTACTGGTTGGCGGCAGAAATAGGTAAGGTGGAAGTATTTCCATAGACGTACTTTCACAAGGAGCTCTACTGCTACTATTTCTACTATTTCAACGTCTCGCTTAAATTGTCCGATCAGAAGTTTGCGTTTTGCAATCGACATCTTTTTATAACTAACTCCGTGTCATGGATAGAGTTAATGAAATGTCACCCTGTATATTTCGATTGTTATTTTATCTATATTATCATGAGCATAATGATTGGATAGATGCGAGTATGACCGAACAAACATAAGCGATAAAAGTAACAAATATTAGCGACATTATTGCCTTCTGTAAGCCTTAATCGCTCTCCCGGAATTACGTTGGCATGTAATTATTAATTTCTCGCAGAATCTATGATTAATTCCGATAGTGAAAAATGGCTTAAACAGAGCTGGACGTCTACTCTAAAAATGTACAACCTCAGCTGCGTATGAAATCAAAACTATCCGTGAGCCATCCGCAGTTTGTTAGCCACAAACGGTTTCGTTTCGGGCTTCGAATACAATAGACATTAGACAATAACGGACCGATAACTTGAATGTAAAAAGTGAATGGTAAAATAGGCCCTTTTACATGCCTAAACAAAAATTTTACAGGACAAATGGCGGATTTGTTTAGTGTTGTACGATAATCTATCGATAAGTCATTATCGACTTGCAAACATTCCATTAAAGCAGATCAATATTCCATTTGGCAATATTATAATTCACACGAGAATAGCCGGGAATGTCTTATAAGATTTTGAATTTATTATTTTGCATTTATAAAATTATAAATACAGCAAATATTATGAAAAGTAAATTTGCACAGAAAAAATGAAATTTGAGAGAAAATTTATATATATACACATATATATTTTGCGCCAGCCTAATTTCAAAAGATAACGATGTAATGACAATATTTCACGAACTAAATAATTCAAAATCTGTTTCATGCATACATACAGGAAATCCTCAGCAAACATTATGAATCGAAAATAGAGAATGTCTCTTACATTAGCAAATAGTTTTGAGGCAGAATCGCTCGATGGCATTCTTTGTAACCTGAAGCACGTAAATATTTTATTATCTTTATTAACATACGAGAGAAGTGATTGGAACAGGTAGAATAATCTTCTCAATGACCTTGACCAACCATATCGGTACACAAGAACACTGCGAAATAGCCTCCTTGCCCGCCTGGCATGGTTGAAAAGCGTCCCAGTTCAAGGCGTACTCGCGTCATCGACCCATTTCAAGCATATCTTACGATCAACAATTTTTTTTCACATTTAAATGATTTAAAAATATTTTTCTTTATTAATTTTTAAACAGAGAGACCTCGGTGGGCATCTTTTGCTCTGTGCGCGTTTGATGAGGAAGTCCCGTTTTCCGTTTCCGATTCCCGGTAGGACTAAATGATTTTTTCTAAATCGGTTCTAGTCTGAGTGTCCCGAGTCATGCCCTGGAGTGAATCCAATTACTCTGGTCGTACAAAAAATACTATAGTTTTGTGTATTGTCATTATTATTTTGTATTTCTATAGATAAGTTTCAAGGACCTTTATTTAAAGTTGGCAGCCACATATCATTAATGCAATGATCGAACACTAAGAAAGATTCCTTCGATCCGGGTGGATTAGAATTAGCGCCTTCAGCAGACCGTG